TAAAGAGTAATTTTATGAATTTTAATTGACTATGAAATTAAATTTATATATACAAAAATATAATTTATTATAAAACTATTTCAAGAAAGAGAAGGAATATATATATAAATAAAAAAGGAATTCATGTATATTTGTCAAAATCTTATTGGACCAAATTCCACCTCATCTCAACCACTAAAATATTATTATTCATTTTACCATCACTAATTTTCCTTTTAATATAAATAGTTCATAAACTGAAATAAGTATTTTTATAATTTTAATAATTTAGAGATGAGAATGGATAAAATGGGTGGAATTAATTTTTTAAAACTGGTAGAAATTAAATATGAAATGTTAAAAATGTTAAAAAAAAATATATATTTATATGTAATTAAAAAGAGAGAAAAAAGAAATTGAGAATCACGTGAAAATGAAATGAATCGCCTCCAATAACGAGACAGCATGTGGTTGGATTGATAATTTCTCCACTGAGAAAATAATATAAAATAATCATTTTTTTTTTTAATTAAAAAAGGAATTATTTTAAAAATTAATAAAAAATGAATATTCTTGACTTTATGTTCCCATTCAGTTCAGTCCCAATAATTAAGAACTAAAATACCTTTATTCATTTGTTTGTCTCTTTCTTATCCCAGCATTGTTTTAATATAAATTCAAAAAATAAAATAAAAGCAAGGTGGGCCCATCGTGTTACCCACCATACCCCATGCACTTAATTTCAAATTAATTAAATAAACCTATTATATTCTTCACATTTGAATATCCTCTCTTACGTATTATTTTCTTAAAAAGGGGTGTTTCTTTAATTTTTTATTATTTATATATTAATTTGTGTTGGAGGATGAAACACCCACGTCCGCTCATGAGTTTATAAACAAACAATACTCTCTCTATTATTTGGAAAATAGTGGACTGAAAGGAAGTATTGAGGGAGGGAGAGAAAGGTAAATTTGTGAGGCCAAAAATGGAATTTCAGCTTTTCTTTTTCTAGTCACTTTTAAAAAGGGAAAGAAAAATAAAATAAAATAAATGGAGGGGTAGAACAAGTCCGAGAAGAAGATATGAAAACGATATATCGCGATATGATATAAAGTTATTTATTTATTTATTGAATTAAAATAAGGGGATTGATTTAGATCTCAAAATAATAAAAAAAAAAAAAAACAAAAGGAGAGAGTGGGATGGGACTTTGAAGTTGGACGGAGGACGGGGATCCCCTTTGTGGTGGGACCCACTCATTAAGTGTATATATATATATATATATATATATATAATTATTTTATTTTTAAAAAAACTTTATTTTACCTTTTGTTACCTCGCCATTATCAAAATAAGGTCAAATTAATAAAATTATACACAAACTTTTTACTTTTACATTTTATGTCAATTTGAACCCAAATTTTACTTATGAATGATGTATGTTTTAATCAATTAAAAGTTATGCTCGTGTTTATATTTTTTATGTTAAATAATTGGTATACTGATAACACAAATAAATAAATAAACTTATAAAAAAATTTTAAAAATCAATTATTAAAATTATAAAAATTAAATTATTGATGTATGAAATGATGATTAATATTTTATTTAGTTATTTACATTTTAAATTTTAATTTCATCCAATTACACTTCAAAACCATTTTAACTCAAAATATATATATATATTAATTATAATAATTATGATATATCAACTATATATCTATCCCATTCAAAAACGTTCTAATTAATTTAAATTGAAATATCATTAATTTAGTTTGATGTTTAGGGAATTTATTTACCTTGTTTATGGACGAACAATTGAACTAACTGTGTTAAACATAATTCGCTAAGGACATCATTGCAAAAAAGGAAATCTATTCATAAATTTAATTATAAGTTAAGTTTTTTCCTCGGACCTTAGTAGTCCTACCCTTCCTCATTTCTATAAATTAAGTAATATAATATTTTCTGTTTTTTTAGCAGGTTAAACCAAACAACATTTGTTCGTTTGTTGAGTTTGCTGGATGGGATAAGTAAAGTCAACTTACCTCTCTTCTGCTTTTGTTCTCGAAAGTCAATCTTCGTCCTGTTCGAGAAAACTAATTATGTGACGGATTTAAAATTATGGTTCAATTTTTGATATTACACAGCCTTAGCCTTTTTATTTTATTTTTATTTTTATTTAAAAAGTATCAATTATGTGGACCTTAAATTCAAGAAAATTCACTTTCTGGTATTTAAATATTTAAATTATGTGGATGGTGACATAAATAATTTTAATTGGCTAAATATTATTTTAAAATAAAGTTTCCGGAAGAATAAGATAGATGTCATTTTCTACCACAGAATTTTCAAATTTCAAACAACTTGGATCCAATGGGGACACTTTTGTAATTTCACTAGCTTCCAAATAATTGACTTTTTATGATTGATAAAAACATAAAAATTATATATTTAATTCAATACTTATTATTGCTAAATTAAGCAAAGCTAATAATAAATCCAATTTCTTAAAGGGAAAAAAATAAAGGAATATTTTAATTCCCCATGATATTGTATAACACGAGTAAAAAGACAATTTTCTCCTTCATATCCACGACATTTTTCTTTAGTTTTTTAATTAAAAAATATAAAAGAATATTGTATTTATTACATAAAGAAAACTTACAATATCGTCTTTATATGCTTAACCTCTAAACCCAACGTCCTAAACAAAACTATTCATTTGTTTAAAGGCGAACGTCAGTTCTTAAAGGTTCTATGAGATGGTACATACCATAATGACCATTTGCCTCAAATTAGATATTCTACACGTTTTTGAGACTCGAACAATGTAGGGTTAGATGGGTTATCTAATAAGATTCGTCGAAGTAAGCGTAAGCTGATTCAGACATCTACGGACGTCAACGAGCATAATAGATACCAGTCAAAGCAACAGGCAAAAGGGACGTAATACAAACAACAACTCTCGGATTCAACGTCAAAAGAATAACAAGCACTTGAAAAGGATATTACTAAGAAGAATCATGCAGCGATGAGTGTTTTGTTATAAGCAAGGGGGTGTGGGGTAAATTTCTAGAAGGAAAAGGAATATAGTAAAAGGTAAGAAAAGTGAAAAAAGGAAGGGAGAATCGAGAAGGGTAAAAGAAAAGAAAGGTTCTTTCAAAAAAGAATCCTCCTTTATTTTCTTTATTTTCTTTTAGGTACAGAGCCAAATAAATAAATAATATTTGTAAATTTAATTCATATAATTATAAATCTAATTTCTTTTTCTTCAATATGACAAGGCCCAAAAGCCCAAGCCCAGGCCCAGTTCAGATAGGCTCACCCTCCAAACCCATTTCTTTTAAAGGCCAAGCCCACTACATAAATCACTTTTTTTTTTTTTTTTTTTTTTTTATGAAAAGAAATTA